CCCAAAGGCTTGTCCTTTGCCCATGGTTCGTCGCCGCACTTCTTCATCATGCCTTTCTCATCAGGTCTCATGGCCAAGAAGCCGTTGCGGCGGAGGCCACCCAGGACCCACTCGCTTTTCTCATTCATCTGGATCATGTGCTCCATGGCAGCATCGATGGCCAGAGCCATTTCTTTCAGGCCCATCTTCGGGAACTGCTGCTCGTGGTGCCCGTCCTCCTCATTCCTGCGAGCCGCCTGTCTCATGCTCTGCTCATCGATGCTTCGTCTCACTGCTGCCTTAAAGGCATGTGAGAAATCCGTGTCGGTGAGTTGCATGGCTGATGTCATTTTGGGCATGATGCTGGATTGGACCTGATGGCTCATGAAGAGGGTCTTTGTCGTATCAGCTGCGAATGCCGGCCCATATGCATCTCTCATCCACACCGACACCGGAAACTGATTCGCCTGATTCTTGATCACCCATGGGAGAATAATCCCATCGCTGTTGCTCGCAGGCTGGCTCATCACTGTGAAATGCCTGAAAACATGAGGCATCTCATCTCGCAGCTTCCGCCAGCTGATGAGACATCGGCCGCAGCTCTCACCTTTGATGCGGCGTCTTTCCTGACCCATGTAGAAGAACACCTCATCCTCTTTCCATCTGCCGTGCTCATCGATGTTGTCCAATCGCCCATGCTGGCCGGGAACGATGAGCAGTCCCTTCATGACATGCCCTGATGGCGCGGACTCAGGGTCGAAGAAGCCGGTCACCAGCTGCATGGCCTCGAATGTGACCCTCATCCTATCGGCCTTCTCTTGCCGACGGGTAGTCAAATGGCTTTTCCCATGCCCCTCATCTGGCATGGCGAGCTGCCACTCATCACCTGGATGCTGCGGGTCCTCAGGCTCATCTGGCTGCTTCTCATGCTGCGGGTCCTCATGCTGTGTCGGGTTTAGGGCTTAGGGCTTTAATGGGGCTTAAGGTTCACATACCATTTAATTGATTAGGAGTTCATACTACTAGGGCCCGTACTTTTATGGGTCATTTTGGTCCTTGAGGTGTACCGGTACCCAGAGAACCCAAAACCCCTTAATTAAGGAATCAATCTTAAATTAGAAGGGCCTCAATACTATGATTTAAGGTATATTCCCGAATTAAGGGGTATTGAGTTCTCTGGGTAGTCAACCCTTCAAAGCCCAACGAAACCCTATCGAAGAGCCCGATTCAATCCCGACAGAAATCTCAGGTCCTCATGCTCATGTGGCTGCTTCTCATGCTGGTCCTCAGCTGCCGGCACATCTTGCTGCTCATCTGCAGTCTGATGTGGGTCACTGATGTGCGGATGCTGCTTCCTTCTCTTCAGCCCAGCTAATTCCCATGATGCAAACACCTCACGATGTGACCCACATCTCAGCCACAATGGCACCTGATCGCTGAAGCCCAGCACACATGCCTTTCTGATGTCTGGGGTGATCTCACGCGGCCTGGCAAAGAACTGCATGTCAAACTCATGATCTGCTGATGCCACCTTATGAATGCGCCAGTCATGGTGCTGCCACGTGAGCTCAGCTCTCACCTGCATCTCAACCTCACTTATCTGGTTGACGAGGTTGGGCACCCTCGTCTCAGCACCCAGCCATTTGGCCAATGTCTGGGCCCTTCTGTGCATGACCTTGGTGTCTGCACTCATGCTCTCAACCTGCTTCTCAGCTTTCTTGAGCTTATTCTCATGCTGCTGCCGCTCATGGGTGCTCATGTCCTTACTCTTCTCATCTTCCAAAAGCTCCGTAAGCTCTTGCATGTGCTCATGAAGGAGGAGCTCATACTGCCATGCCAGGTGTCGCTGCAGAACCTGATGCCCATGTGCCCGTTCCTTATCCAGCCATGGCCGAGTTTCACGACCAGCTCAGGGAACTCCCTCTTCGACCCACCACCTAATGCTCTCTTGCGGGCCTTCTTCTTCTCAGTGTGATCCCCATGCTTCTGGTTCCCATGCTCCTTGCTTTCCATGGAAGCCCATGTGGCCCTGTTGGCCCAGATGTCCTGAACTTTGTCCAACCTCATCTTGTTCTTCCTCGCAAATGCCTTGAGCATGTCCACCTCGGCAGGATGCTGCTCATGGGTCGCATAGATTTGCTGGCAAATGCGGTGCTTCATGGACACGGTCAACTCAAACTGCCGAGGCTTCTCATGGCCCTGTCTCCTGTTGGACCGGTGGCCACCCATGATCCCTCGCCTCTCGCTCATCGGCTTCAGGGGCCGACCTCCCATCCTCCCATACTGCTTGGCCACCTCCTGCTGCAGGCGTGGCACCTCATCGGATGTCAGGCTCAGCTTCTTCCCATCAAGCGACAGCTGCCCAGTCCTCACCATCTGACGAAGAGTGTCCTCCATGCGATGTCTGGGCTTCTTGGCCTGCGGACTGGGCATCTCAAGGAGAGTCTCATCCGAAAAGCTTGAGGCTGATGGCGAGCGGAAGAAGTTATGCAGCCTCATCTGCTTGGTGGAAGAGGCTGATGAAACCGACCCAAAGCTCAGCTGCCGCCCACACGAGTACCACGACCTCGCCGATGACCAGCAGAGACAACACCCCAGACCGGGGGGGAAGACACGGAGGACAACCTGGAGATGAAAAGGTTGCAGACCCGTGACCCGAGAGGGGCAACAAGACGCCCTTGCGGGGAAACTCAAGAAGCTGGGGGTGACTTGCAAAGCATGCTTGGAAGGACCTTTCTGGCACAAGAGCCACGCTGGGGGCCTGTGCTACAAGACGATGCTTGCCGCGGGGGCAGTCATTTCCACGGCCAGCACCAGCACCATGCGGGGGAATGCCAACCCAGAAAAGAACCCGCTCGACTTGCAGCACAACCCGGGGCCAGTGCAACATGGTAAGGGATGGGGGAAGACAACAGGATTTCACGAAACCGAACGGGGGCTGGTGTTGCTACATGAACCAGACCCGTTGGACTACTGGATCAACCGGTGCGTGGTGCCGGACCAGAGGGGATTCCTCAAGGATACCAATACGGGGAGAGCCCTGGAAGCCACAGACGAGAGACACTACCATCGGTACCTGCAACATCACCGAGCGCGAGCGGAAGAGGGACGCGACGCAGACGAGCTTGTGAGCATAGGGGGGCGTTTCAACCCAAAGGTGGAGGAGGAGCTGAGCATACATGTGTGGAGGTTCCCCCACAAAATCCAGGACCTCCTCAAACAAGCTCAGACCGTGCGCTCTGGCAAAGGAGAAAGAACAGGAGGGGACCAACTCAATAAGGATTACCAGACCGACGAGATGTGGGGCAAGCCAGCCGAGAAGGCTAGCAGAGTGCCAGCCAAAAGGCCACAAAGCGCGACCTCGAACACAGGGGAAGAACCCGCGCCAAGACTGGGGGGGCACAGACACCTCCGGACAGGGCGTGAGACAAAGGCGAACCAACCCAAAGAGGTAACCTGTGCAACGAGTTGGGAGGGCAGTGAAGCTGAGTGAGAACGAGTGCGCCGGCCCGTGAAAAGCTTTTTCTCCTGTAGGGTAAGGTTCTGGCTTCTGTTGAGGGGTTTGCTTCGGACTTGGGGGTCGGTTCTGCTTTGTGATTTTTGCTGGCATGCCTCAGCCTTTCCCCTCGCACCGCACGTTTCATGTCATTCTTCACTCCTTTCGTAGCTGTGACTCCCAGGTGTGAACTCTTTCACGGGTCAGGATTTATCCTCGACTCTTCTCAGGTAAACCCACTCCTAGACAGGGCCCATATTGGCCCCCAATCCTGGTTTCTTTCTCAACGCACCGTTCGCAAAGTAGTGAAGGATTCAGGGGACAGGAAGCTCTAATTCGACCCACTCAAACCATGTAGAACCCGTGATAAACCCGCACGAACCAGTGCGGGGAAGCATGTTTTTGTTCCTGCTCCCGGAAGAAGGCCGGCATGGGGGGAGCGTTCGGTACTGCTTGTTGTCTTGTTTCGAGCGCCCCGGGGGGACCATGATGGCATTCTTCTTTTCATGCTTCGATACTTCTATGTAAAGCCGAGCCACTCACCTGTGGAAGTTCAAAACCCTGCAGAGACCCGCAGGTGCCCGAGGGTTCGAGCATCCGCTCGTTCCCTTTGTCCTGGTAGAGAAAGAGGGAGGGGCCGAGATATTTTCGCTGAAGCCTGCTCTAGTAGGCGAGGCCTCGCCTCATCCATGGTCACACTTTTTATCCGGACGAAGGACCACCCACCCTGCCAGCCAGGCAGGCACAGAGGCAGGCAAGCAAGGAAGCAAAGCAAGCAAAAAGAAGATGTGACGCCATTGCCTATTGGTCCGTTGCATCTCGGAGACACTGCAGTGAGCACTGCGTTGGTTTGGAAGCCGCTCGCTAGTGTGTGTGTGTGTGTGTCCGAACAAATAGGGCAGACGCAAGTTAGTTTAGACATAGAAAACAGACCCTTTATAGGGTGTATTTAGTTTAGACACGCAAAAACAAACTTTCGGAGTCCCGGGTAGGCGCAAGTTCGTTTTGACATAGAAAACAAGCCTGTTGTAGGGTTTATTTCGTTTAGACACAGAAAAACAAACCTTCGATGTCCCGGGTAGGCGCAAGTAAGTTTAAACGTAAAACACAAACTTTCGAGTCCTTTTACAGGGTTTATTTAGTTTAGACACACAAAAACAAACTGTCGGAGTCCCGGGTAGGTGCAGGTTCGTTTACACAGTATTTACTCTCTTTTCTTCGCGTTTAACCCGTATCCTTCCCAGACTTTGGTTTTCAAAAACAAACCGTCCCTCCCCCTCAGTTGTTGTTCGTAGGAGAAACAAACCCCCCTACACCCCCCCGTCCCTCCCCTCAGACCTATGGAAAAACGGTTTGGTAGACTTCGACCCCTGAACCATCGGAAAAACAAACCCCTCCCGCCCAGAGTTTGTTTTTCGAGGAGAAACAAACCCCCCTACACCCCCCGTCCCTCCCCTCAGAGTTTGTTTT